CCCCCCTCCCCCCTGCCCCTTTGTGGTACCGCGATAGCCTCCACATTCCGGCTCCGCTTCCCATCGATGACACCAATGCTCCTGAACGCGTCTCATGCGGCGGCGGCTTTGCGGTACTTCCTCTGGACATCCATCTCGGCACAAGTTGTCGAAGAGACCTTCGCATCAACTCACCTAGGTTGGTCATGCTTAGCAGGGAGCGATTGAGGAGTAGAGCATCAGCATCAGCAAGGCACACTGCGTCGTACAAACGAGCGCATACTCACACGTGCCTGAGCTCAGCCGCGGAGATGAAGCCGTTTCCGTCCTTGTCAAAGACTTTGAAAGCTTCCTTGATCTCCTCTTCGCTATCAGTGTCCTTCATCTTGCGCGCCATCATGGTCAAGAATTCTGGAAAGTCGATGGTTCCGTTTCCATCAGCATCGACCTCGTTGACCATATCCTGCAGCTCGGCTTCGGTGGGGTTTTGTCCAAGCGAGCGCATCACTGTTCCAAGCTCCTTGGTGGTGATGGTACCATCCCCATCTGTTATGTCCAACAAAGGGAACACGGGACAAGCGGAACCAGAAAGTTGTGATCAGCATGGCGCAATGGGCCGCAATTGTACCCGGACGATTGCAAATCAGACGCACCTTTGTCGAATAGAGAGAACGCCTCCTTGAACTCTGCAATCGAGTTGAAGGCGTGGAAATCAGCAAACCAGTGCCTGCGCATTACGTAGTCCATTACAGTCAAAGCTCGTCAGCTGACCCACCAGAGATTTGCTCTGCGAATGGAAGGGTGTAGTAGGTTTTACTGTCAGCTTCGCGAAACACCTTCCCGTCGCGGGCTACTTTGCTCACCCTCGGTCTACGTGCAGCATGCGCGAAGAGCAAGATGGAGGCGAAGGCGGGCGAAGGCAGGCGAAGTGTGTGTCAGTCTACGATATCCAAAAGCAGATCTCTCGGGTGCTGACCGGGCCCATTGTGCAGCTAGCTGATCCGAGCGGCTGGGTTCGCCTGCTCCTCTCCTACTTCCGCCATCCCTGCCTACGCACAAGTTGGTCGGCCATATTTGCGAGGGTTTTGTGACTGACGATTGTCTCTTCAGCAAGACTTGGGCTTGATTCGGGGTTTGGAAGGTGGTGTGGAGACCGGGGTGGATAAGAGGACTAGGAATCGTGATGACGAAAGTCTGATGCGTGTAAAGTTATGTTGCTGCTGCGTACAGCACACAGCGTGCCGGCGCACACGCGGAATCGCTGAATCTGCGATCAGAGGCTCGAAGCGAAGCGCGGGCGGCCGTGGGCTAGCTGAGCTACAGTTAGATGCCATGTGCGGCCGTGCGCGTTGGTGATGCGCTGCGCCGCCCGACTTGCGATGCGATCGAGCAAAGCGCGCATGCAATGCAGCACGCTGGCTGCACGGTTCGAAGGCAGGC